TTTGAAAGAGCGTGTAGCGAAGAGACACAGGCAGTCAAGGGAGACAAACGACTAAGTGTAAAAGAATGTCCTTGGTTCCCTATTAGGTTTTTTTGCATCCAAGACCAGCCTACATGTAATTAGTGAATGTTCGGAGGAAAGTACTCCTGGGAGCGTTCAGTAGTATGAACAGCTATGTAGTTAGTGTTCTGGAGAGAAAGGTTTTTTTCTTGCTGGTGGGCATCATTCTCTGACACTTGTGCTTGTACTTGGTCATGATTTGTACTCCTTCCTTTTCCGCATAGTAGTCCCCTTCTCAGAGGAGCCCCTTGGTCGAGAGCCCCTGATGGTGGCAGGCACTCCACCCCTTTATACCTATTTGCATGGTATAAGCTTACCTATAAGCCTATGGAATTTTCTTCCAGGGTTTGGTGTTTGCAGTTCAGATGCCCATGTTGAAAATACAAATGTATACCTTAGAACTACTTTGACTGGGAGGTGATGTTCGTGGTATTTTCTTCTAGATGGATGAAAAATATATACTTTGTCTTTTAAGTGAAGAGGTTTACCAGCTAGAAAACTCTGAATTTAAAAGTGATTTTCTAGGAATGTATTTATTTCCAAGGCTGAAAAAAAATGTAATTTGTGAGGCTCTCCATAGCAAAGCATGTTGTGTATAAATTAGTGTTGTCTCCAGCCACTACGGAATGATGATTCCTCCTGATATATAGTATTTATTACTCCTAGTAAAAGAAACACACGAGTGAGAAAAGTTCATATACCCTGTCAACCAAAGAGCTAAAAAATTATGCAGTTTATGAAACGATTACAACACTAACAAATGAAAATACTGAACTTTGAGTTGTGATAAAAATTGCTTATAACGGTATTTTATTTTACAGATATGGCCTCTGAATGACTTTGGATTTCTACGTGCAAGCCCCAATGGCCATAGATTTCTTGACGATTAAACCATTTAAGTGACTATTGCCAGCTTTCATAACATTTTCTACTAAAATCAATAGAACTATTTTTCCTTAGAATAAACAAAAGTATTACTTGACAAAGATGACTCTTTCTGACATTACATCTAACTTGAAAGCGGGAATGATATACTGCTGTCTCAACAAAAATGATATGCCTCTTACTCTGTCTCCTCTGGCTATTCATTGGATTTATTAAAAGTTTGGGGTTTTACTACAAGCCAAGGTTAGCACTGACTGTTAACAGGGGATGAAAAAGGCCCAATGCACTATTATATCGTCACACATCCAGAGCCACACGCAGGCTATGCCTACATTAGCAAGTAGTGTGGGATTGGAACTGAAAACAGCAGCAGTGGGGTTCCGGATCTGCTAGTCACTTAATGGGTTTTGTAGGGTTGTCCTTAAGCCAGCTCTAGGTTGGCCCAGTGGACTGTATACCCAGTAGGGCCCAGAGCACAGCTTCCTGGTTAGTTTTTGTCTAAGGAATGAAGACTGCATTTGTTCAGATGGCAGAGAGGGTTGCTTCAAAAGTGTTAACGTAGATGCAGTGTTACAGTCCGGTGCGTGGGCACTGGACCTGCTACCAGCCTGTTTGACCTGCAGGTCTCTGCCACCTCTGTCCAAGGCTCAAGTCCTTGTGAGGATTTAATGAAGTTAAATAGAAAAAATGTTCCCGTTTCCCATTAATGCGCCTTACTCTTCATTATCTTCAAAGCATTCTCACATGTATGCCTCCTGATTAAATTTTGTCATCTGAGCTGTTAAAAGGATTTAATCTAAGAGGTAGGGCCTAAGGTATAGTTGATATAGACCGAGATTGAAAGAAGCCACTCTGTCATTTGTTGGGAAAGAAATGTCATTTAGATCATGAGATATATTCCAGTTGTACAGAACTTAGTGTTCTGTTCTGGAGGTTTTTAATAACCAAGCCTCGTGTCTGCAGAGCTATGTTAGCAAATGGCCACATTTCCTTTCTTAAGCCTGACAGAGCTCATTCTGGTAGTGCCTCCCTTTTCTTTAACATACATTTCTTAGCAGATGCTGTCTGCTGTTTGTCCAGTCTTTTAAACAGTTTGTAACTCTTAACGTGCTTGATTGAAACAATCATTGAAGGATCTCGATAACAAGCGAACATGTGTCACAACAAACTAAAGATACATCTTTGGTTTCGCTCTTGAAGACAGTGTAATTCCCACCACATCGGCATGAGAGAGTGTAACATTGTTCATCTGCCAAAAAAGAAAACAAAAAAGCCTTTAGTCCTTGAGAAGAATCAAGAATTTATTGCGGATATTCTTCACAAAGCTGCTTTTAATAACAAAGCATAGTTTGTGTGTGGATTGTGAATATCAGTACCTGTGCTACCATCTGTTGCTCAAAAAATAACTATACTGTTAAGATGCGTTTCAGTGACTGTGAGGCATTCTTATGCCAAACAGCCAGCATCAGCGTAGTCTCTTTAAAAGAGCAAATAATACAAAGGTGCACATCAGTGAAACAGACATGTTAAAAGGACTACATCACTGGATGTTTCTGAATGAGAACTTAATTCTGACAAAGTACCAAGATCTTTAGAGAGCAGTTAAGAACAAACTAAGGGGTGTTAATTATACATATTGACAGATCAAGGATGGTTCCAAAACAGTCTGCTAACCCAGGAAACAAACATAAAACAAACAGAAGAAAGGAAAGTAGATAGGATTTTCCCCCCCACAGCTTAAGTAAAAAAAATCAGCCATTCGTCCAAAAAGCAAGTAAATGGTAAAAGCTAGAGAAATATAAAGGAGAGAAGTAACACACTGTCAGATGAAAAAAAAATCCGTATGAAAACACTTGCATTCTACCATCACAGAAAGAGCAAGAAGATGCATGAAAGATTTGGGAAGAATCTGGAAATCTAAATACTCAATTATACTACAAGAAGAGAGCTAGGTGAAAAGTGGTACTGCAAGGGTGGGGAGGGAAGGGATGAAGAAGGAATGCAAAGTATCACAGAAAGTTCCAATTCAGATAATCACAGAGAACAGAATAGCTAAATCTGAGGAAAATATAAAAAAATCAGAACTTACAATAAGACAACATAATAGTATAAGATGCAGAAAAAATAGAAAACATTTGCAGTGACAAAGAAAGGCACTGGGAACAAGTAGTAAGGTGCTCCTCATACCTTCATTCCAGGACATATCCTCAAGATGAATTTGTGCATGTAGCGGCCATTCTTTCGACAGGTTATCTTCTATAAAGAAAACATGACAGATGTTCAACCCTGATAATGTACAGGTCCTTATTTCTTCCTGATAAATTAACAGTTTTATATACCTAGCAGTCAATCTGGTCCCTACTAGAGAGTCATACCTAGACCACATTATCAGTTAAAAATGCAGTTCTCAAATTTTAGTTTCCATATCTCTGCATAAGCTGGAAAATGTCCAACTGTGGCCACGAGAAGTAGATGGTGAAGCGGTATTACTGAAATTAAGCCACTACTGAAAGCGGTACTTTTGCACATCCAAACAATTATGTGAAATTAGGGGCAAATTTTGTTTTGATATAAGTACCTTTTAAAAGCCTGGCTGTAACTACAGTTCCACAAGCTGCAATTGCGAATGTCTGCTTACCTATACTTCTCACAAGATCACAGAATGGTTAAGGTCAGAAGGGGCCTCTCAAGATCACCTAATCCAACCCTCCTGCACAGGCAGGATCAGCTAGAGCAGGCTGGCCAGGACCATGTCCGGTCAGATTTTAAATATCTCCACAGATGGCGACTCCACAATCTCTCTTAGGCAACCCATTCGCCTTTAGAAAGGAGAAGCCAAATACCGCCCCCCCAATAAGCACCAAGTAAATGTCAGGGTTGCATTTGAGAAGAACCCCAGGATTCTTGCAAAAAGATATTCCTAACAAAAGAGAAATGAAAAACACTTTTAGGGGAAGACTAGTCCAAGTGTTCTTTTATGATAAAGAGTCTCTCAGCACAGAAAGAAGGCCAGTTCTGGCCTGCACCCGTGAGATCCATTGCCATTTGATCCCCTAGGTTCTTCCAACATAGAGTACAGCATGAAATAAAGTGTACGATACAACTGAAATTATCAAATGCAAACTGTACAATACAAATACAAATTGTGTTTTGCAATTTATCAGCACGCTCATACCTGATGTACGAAGTTCATACCAAGTTCTTTAACTTGACAACGTAAGATTTTGTCAAAGTTACAAGTGAAGCCATAAAAGATAATATTAAAAAAAAAAAGGGGGGGGAGGACACGAGACGACACAGACATAAACCCCTTACAACTTACTACACAAAACCTCCCAGCTGCTGCCTGACACCTGGAAGCTCCAACTCCCCAAATGCTGTTTTGTAAAAGAACCAGAAACGCTGAAAGCTGATCTTTAGCACATACGCAGAAACGCCTTAGATTTGGCAAGACTCAGGAGCTTAGTGCTTATTTAAGGTTTAAATCAGGTTGTTATTGAGAAAGGAGGTGTTCCTTCTCTTGGATCAGTGAGTGTTTAAACGAGTTTTATAGTTTAATAACATCAAGCTTTCTAGAGCATATAGTGTTGTCTACGGCTTTCTATGAAAAGTAAGTTGGCAGTGAAAGAATTTCTTATTCTAGAACTACTTATTGAGCACTTGCTGAAAAAGTCAGAGGCCCAGATTATTTTATGTTATTTTAATTCCCAAGAGATTGCCTCACCTAATCACTAGATTGTAAGGTATTCTAAATGGTTCCCAGCTTCTTCTATGTAACTGCTCTTTGCTCTGGATTGAGAAGGAGGAATAAGGGACTTTGCAGCTACCTCCTCCAATAATACCCCAGAAAAATAACACCTTTATCTGATCAGATAATGGAGTATTTCCTTCGTTACCACCACACATCATCATCTGATTGCAACCACCTTACTCTTCAAAAGCTGGTATCAGATTTTGAACAGTGAAGTAGTGACTCAGAACAGGCCTAGATCCATATTCTATCAGTTGATTTCACACACTAACTATGTAAAGCAAGCTATTCCCAAGTAAGATTCCTAACTTACAACAAAGTAGTGTAAGTTGCTGCAAAGGAGTTTAAGGCTACTATGAAAGTATAATCCTAGCAATAGCTAATCACAGCTTTCTCTATAGTTAATTATCTAAATTAACTTTAAAATCTAACCCATCTGTTTTGTTGTTTTCTGGTTTTTTTTTAATTGTTTCCCTTTCATAGCTCTATCAGTTTTAAAGGTATAGTATCATAAGTAGAAGTATTAATGTAATGTCCCAGTAGTGAAATGAACCCCTTGCATTTTAACTATCCTTATGTATAACTGGGGGGGGGGGAAGAGTTAATACTTATATTTTCAGTTTTTAAATTGGCCATTTAAGGCCAGTTTAAAAAAAAAAACCACAAAAACCCAAATATTAAGTCCCAGGTTTTATTTTGCAACTAACTATTCTAATTTTAACAGAAATGTACATTAGAGATCCTTGAGAATGAGCCTCATCTAAATTAGTTTTAATGAAGGAGATTAAAACAAATCAGACACATTGGAAATAACGACAGAATCAATGCAGCCTCCTTGATGTTACCTTTGCTGAACACCTATTCTGTAATGAAAAGGTCAGAATTAAAAGAAAATTAACCCACTCACACCTAATACTTTACTGCTGTCTAAAAAGAGAAAAAAATCAGCAAGAGTGTAAAGATGAAAGAAAACTGGAAGATATACCTATCAATCAGTCATTCTCATTGCTGTGCATGCTCTCAGTTACATAAACAAGAGCTACGGGTAATGTTTTAGTTATACAAAGTAACAACATTTTTCTTAACACCTGATCAGAACATCAGTTAACTGATGACATGCCCAAAATAAAATAAAAGGTCAGATGGTCTTAATTCCTGCCAAATAACTCTGACATTACTTGGAGTTAGTCTGGTATAGCCTTCTAGCTACAAAACATGAGAACAGGAACCATGAATGTCCTGAAAACACCCACAAAACCAGTCAGAGGCCTCTCCTCCAGCAGGCCTTGTGTGAAGTAAAGACTCCTCCTCCTCTTTTTTGAGGAAGAAAAAAAAAAAAGCAGAGATCAAAATGAAGTCTCTCCACTGCGGTGGAAGAAGACAATACTGTAACTGTGAGAACAGTGTGAAAAAGGCAAGCGCTTCCCGCTTCACCTGGGTTTTTTTTAATACTGGGAAGAAAAATTCACAAAGGAAAATGCTCGCTTAGGTTGTAGGAAGAGCAGATTTTCCTAAGCTTCATTTATAGGTAGCAAAAAATTGAGTTAAAAAGAAACCAGGCCTTCCTATTTGGAATTCATGAAGCAGGATTTCACTCAGAACAACTTTTATAGAATTGGAGGTGGAGTTCCGGGTTGTGTCTTGCTGGTAGAAAATACAAAAAGGACAGATGGACCATATGCCACCATGAAGAGAACTGGTGAGATGCAAATTCACGAGGCTTCCGTACTTCCTGAAGTGAAGTTACCTGCAAAGTAATGAAGGTGGCGGCTGAGGAAAAATCTACCCTCTCTTCTATTCTGAACATAGTACAGCACGAAGCCCAGGAAACAGAATTTCAACTAGCTTTTCCAATTCTTTACTGCAATTATAATTTTAAAAATAAAAAAATAATTAAAAAAAATCAACAGGCAAAATTAATCACTCATACAATTCCCAGCCTGAACAGAGATCGTTATTCCTAGTCTGATGCTCAAGTCTGAAAGAGTCTTACTGGTTATCTCAAAAGATGTAAATTTTCAATTAGTACTCTTGACTTCAGTAAGCCTCCAAACTTGAAACATAATCCAGTAACCGCATATGCTGCATTTATTTGCTTATCCAGTTCAAGTAGGAGAAACTTACTTTCCCGAGTTGAACGAAGCTTTTTTATTTTCTAGTTCTCCTATTAAATACACTACCCAATCTAATGTACCTTAAGACAGCAGAAACAGATTTAGCCACTTATTTAAAAACAGAGGCACAGCCCAGTATGAGTTTGGGGAGCTTACAAGCAGAACTACAAACCTAACGGTTTTCACAGAGCGTGTTAGTGACTCCAATATTTCTTGTGCTCTTCCTTATTTAATCTACATCATTATTACTACAGCCATCACTCTCTCGTTAGTGGTTCTCTGGAGTAAACCGGTGTCTGATTTTCACTCCCTTGCCGGAGGAGAAGGTTATTTAAGACCGCTGGTGTTACCAGTACTGAGTTCTGTGGTAGGCTTAACTGATACGCGACGTCTGTTCAAGCTGTAGAACTCTGCGTGCCCAGTTGTACGTTCTGAAACCTGTTCCTGAACATATAGGGAAAAACTGTGAAGACCTGATCATCTACCATAACTTGGAAAACAAATCTTAACCCACAAGAAGTACAGCCTGCCTGGCTTTGCCGTCTATTGGATTTGTCTGACAACAAGAGGTGAAAGGATTCTGCAGCTCCATTGTCTCAACTGCAGGATCCAAGAAAACACTGGCAGGCTCATCAGAGAAGTTTATGAGCCTGCAATTCAAAGAGATTAAAAGGAAAAATCTACTGAGATTCTTTCAGGCTACAGAACAACATTAAATAACTATTAGCAGCTTGGTTCAGTAAAGCTTTACTAGAGCCCTTGCTGGGTCATTCAGAAATCGTAAAAGAGGAAAGGTATTTAAGTTTCACTTGAGGATACAATAAATATTTCTTGGGCTATTTAAGGCTGAGTTTTAGGGAAAGGGTTGCAAGCAGTAAATGGAAATTTAACCCTTTTAACTGTTTATGGTAATAGTAAAAATAGTCACGATACTTAAAAGATTTTTCTAGCTCTCTATCAGTCATGTATTCTTAGGAATTATTTAAAAAAACCCAAACACGTAATTAGAAAAAATTCAAGATATGTACTGTCAATCAAATACTGTTCACAGTATCTGCTAAGTATCAAAATCATCACAGTACTCAAAACCTGGATATTTTCAGAAGTTAATTTTTTCTAATAGGCTATTTAGTTTTTAAACAATTACTTAAGTTTGACTCTCTTGCATTAATTAAAAAAAAAAACCACTGTGCTTACTTTAATTTGAAATTATAAAAACGTCACACAAAAAATATTCATAACAAAATGCCATGTTTGTTAAAAAAATACAAAAAAATACTGCTTCACTTGTAGCCAATGCAGATCAGAATTAACTTCAAAGATCTGTGGTAAAAGGCTTGTGTTCCAGCACTAGCTGCGGGTCTACAGCCATAAAATCCGTGGCTAGAGAA